CTCTCCCTCTCTTCCACACTCGCTCACTTTTGCACATCTTTCATCTATGATGCAGAAGCGTCACCATTCATGTCGTGTCGAAATTCAGCGAACGTTTATTGTTTATCTCATATAAATGTTAAATGCCTCTCGCTTAATGATAATAGCATACGTAACGCGAGAAGCTGCTCGAAAATCATAGAATTGTTAAAGATGTGAATGACGCATGTCCAAAATGTTACAAAATAAAATATCGCGTACGAGCGTCACGTCATTTCAGTAAATATTTTCCTGGTTACATGGAAAAATGTGATGACTCGACATCGATGATTCCGCGTTCCGAGAGCAGTATTAAAAGCAACATATATATATATATATATATATATATATATATATATATTCGTGCATTATTCGGAAAGAATAAACGCGCAAATAAGTGTGCGCGGGCACGCGCGCATGCAGACGCGGTATGCGCGTGCGGAAACGACAATGTGGAGTGCCGCTGTTCGGCTTTTGCTCTTTGAAAGGCGAGCAAACACGTGGCTACGTGCCCGCTGGTTTTCTTGACAACGTGCGAGAATTTATGCATTCGCCGTTGTCCGTTCGCAGTAAAGAAGATGATGTACAAATGGATAAAAAGCTTTGATGACTGCTGATCTGACTTAAATAATTCATCAGAGAACTTTCGCGAACTGAATCCTGAAAATATTTGATCGAACGGATCTTGAATTTTATTCTCCCTGTTAAACATTTGCTAACATGAAATATAAAGCAATTTTATTATCTTAATATAAATTCGATTACTTTTATGATAGAAAGGAAGAGATAGGGAGAGGAGGGAAGAGGGATAACAAGGGAAAGATATACATTGGCGAGTAACATTTTAAATTAATATTTAATAATAGAGCATAACAAAATTAAGAATGTTGAAATGTTCTATAAGAATAATTGTAAAATAAAATAAATAAAAATTCTAATAAAAGTAGAGTAACAATTTTAGCACTGTTAAAATCGAATCTGATCTTAAAATTTTGGTCAGACGAAGTGAAGAAAATGATCCAAAATTATAATTAGATCACTTAGATCACTTATTACTATTAATACACTTATTGAATACAAAATAAATTTATTTTTATAATTTTATATATAGCATTTTTAAAACAAGTTTTCTTGTCAATACATGCCTTTTGAATGCTCTTTAAAAATTCAAACTGTTAAAAAATACCTGATGTCGCGCCGCCACCATTTGATTTTCATCACTCATATTATAGAAATAATTTAAAATCAAGAAAAGTGTTACGAGCTTTTATAAAAATCTTAAAAACAGAGTAATGCAAAAATTATATTTTTTAAATACTAATGAAAAATTATAAAAGATATAATTTACTTTGTTTGCAATAAACATATAAATGTTACAAAATTGTATTCCTGTTTATTTTTTAAACATGATAACAAAATTGTAAGATCAGATTCAGATTCAGAATTAAATAAATTTTTAAATAAAAAGTATACTGGCCGCATTATTTAATAGATTTAATTAAATTTTAATCTCGTTATTTAATTTGAGCAGTAATGTTGTTACCGACTTGGAAAAGCTTTACTGTAATAATTTTATATCAATCTCTTTCTTAATTATATAGATACATGAGAAGCTGAACCACGTCAAATCGTATTTTAAACCGCGTTGCCCCCTAGGTCGCGCCGGTCTAAATAATTCATTCCATGAATTATTTCTGTTCCTATTCCCGACTCGTAACGAGAATCGATCTCTTTGATCGCCGTACCCTCTTCATTCGTCCCGACACTTTGTCCCGCGCTACGTATCCTTCGATCATCCCGTAATCGTTGCGTATTTCAAACGTCCAATCTCCAGGAACTCTATCCCGGAACATTTTTCCGCAAGATTCATTCTATACGGTTAAAATTTGCCCCGACCAACTGCCATGTTACGATAGTGAATATATTCAGCGATTGAAGCATTTTGTTTTCCGAATAAGCGACGGCAGGTTTGCCGGCAGGCGTTTATTTTACTTGGATATCGAGGAAAACCTACATTATATGTAAACGCAGCTTTCAACGTTCGAGAACGGATTATAGAAGCTCGCGTACGCTGCTTCTTAATCCGGGGATTTCGACTGAAATATTTGGTAGATGCTATCGGGCAGTGACGCGACCGTTCGCTCCAGCGTGCATTTAATCCCGGAACGAGCATGGTTCCGAATCGATTCGAAATCTAGGTCGAATTCGGCTTAGTGGAATTGATTTCTCCGGTTTCTCGGTTGCGAACAATGTATACGTCGTGGGGTTTAGACCGGCTTCGCGAATCAGGTCGTTCCGCCCGCTTCAACGAGACAAAAGATAAAATTCTATCCGCGGCGCTTACCAACCAACAAATCGAATAATCGTTTCAACATCGAGTTTAATCCACGGGCAAATCCAGATCGGAGCTGTCGCTTGACCTGAGGCGGCCCTCCACCGTGTGAAGAACAGGGGGCAAAATATATTGATTTTTAAATAGCTGAGATACAGCGTCACAGTTACTGAGATAGAACGTCGAATTTTCATCGCAAAAGAATATCCATATAAACCTGCAAAATGGTATACTCTCTAAAATATCCCACGAAATCATCAAATCGATGCATATTTTAACGATCCATATCGTTACAACGAGCCATCGCTCGTTAAATTAATACCGTTCTGAAATATGAAATTTTAACCGCCACCCCCCGGTACAAAAGCCGTGTAATTTCTCATCAGTGGACCTGTTAAAATTAAGTGGACGGAAGACAATATAAGTTAGTCGAGCTAAATTAATGATGTCCGACCGCCTCTCATTGACCGAGCGGAATGAGGACGGAGACTCGTCGAGAGATCGCCGTTAACAAAACCGACATTACAACTAACGAGCTAACGAGCGAATACGCTTTTCGTTTTAGGCTGCAGCGTGAAATTTGCGCACGGCGAGCAGGGCCCGGTCTTCATCCTGGAGCCGCCGAGCACCCTAGTCTTTTCAAATACCACGGGCTCGCAATTAGGCTGCTCGGCGCACGGCAGCCCGACGCCGCATGTCACGTGGATTACCAGCCCGGATCAGAGATCGGTTACAGCAGTCCCGGGACTCAGGTAAATCACGCTTCGTAAATCACGTCCCCGCGAATGTACAGCCTGCTGCGCTTCGACCGGTCTCGTTCGTCCCCCCCCCCCTCCCGCCGGAGACCGGTCACTTTTGCATAAATCTGCCGGGGGGACGCTATTCGCTTAAAATAAAGCCGGAGCGTATTCTCCGCGAATACGGCGCGGGGATGAAAGGGCTTGTTTCGGGATCCGAGTGAAATTCGCCCGGCGCTTCCTCTCTGCAATCTCACGTGTCTCTTTCCGCTTCCTCCTTTTCCGTTCCGCACGTATATCCGCACGGAGCTCCTTTCATATTCTTTCAGGCAACTTCTGGGCAACGGGACGCTATACTTCCCGCCGTTTCTGGCGCAGGACTTCAGGGCCGAGGTGCACAACGCCCGATACAGATGCCGTGCGACCAGCTCCGTCGGGACCGTACTTTCACGCGAGGTCACTCTCCGCGCCGGTAAGTTATCTTATCCTTCACGCCTTCTTATCTCCCCATCGAAAGCGAAAGCATAGTCTTGTAGAGACTTACTTAAACTTATCCGGTCGGGAGATTTCAAAATGTTTTATCATTCCGGCGGAAATAGCTTTCCGGTTCTGAGTGGAAAGTGTGGTCGCGCGAATAAGATCCGAACTCTCTATCACCGCCGCGAATCGACAGTCCGTTGATGTCGTCGATATACACGATAACCATTATTTATCGAAGAAACGTCGTTCCCCGCGTACGAGATTCGTTGCAATAACGGACTGGCGCGGTACCGAACATCCCATTACGCCGGAGTGCTACGGTGAGTGCGGAGCCAACACCTCGCATTTTCAACCGAGGGGCTTCACGCTATCCAAGTAAATACCGATGGGGAAACGGTTGAAAGCCGTTAAATTGTATCGGAGGAAGTTCGATTCGAATACGTGGGCAAGTCTGCGCCGCCTCGAAAGACTCGAGGAGGGACAAAACTTTGTCCGGTCCGACGCTACGTGAGCCATCATTTAAATGGCTGATTTTAAACTGATCATTACTACTGCCGGCGCGGTGGCCACGTTGAATTCGTCAGTATCCGCTGTAATATATTGCACGAGTCCAATTGGAAAGGAATTCTTCTTTCGCTTTCGATTTACTTTGATCTCAATGGCCGTTAAATATACAATAATGCTGTGGTGTAACGATTCTGATTATACTCGAAAGATTATCTACTTATATTGGCAATATTGAAAATTATATATTTTTCCAAAGCTTTTCAAACTAAAAGTAATAAACCGAATATCTTTCTCGTTTTAGCTCTCCTTTTAGTTTTGAAAGCTAAAAAAGAGATTCCCGGAAAAGAAATCTCCCGGAAGAGAAAAAAATTTTAAAGAAATCTGTACGATTATGTTGTAATGTTATTCAAGTGATATTCATGTTTCGTAATGGCTTTCGAATATTATTTGCGATGACAAAAACAAAAGATAGATCGAATCAAATCGCGAAATAATAAATGTATAACGTATTATTGACTATAAGAAAAAAGCGATATGCTTGTTCACTTTTTAGCTAGTACACGTAGTAACCTTTTAAATGGGTAAACATTGATCGCTTTCACGAAGCTCTAAGTTTACGTTGCACTTAGGTTGCTTGCTTTCTCAACGGCATTTTCATGATGCGTTTTTAACCCTTCGAGAAAAGGCAAAATCGTCGATTTTCGGAGAATGACTACTTATGTAAAGGAAAAAAATTCAATGTCAATAATTTAAGCCGAATCAACATTTTAAAAACGGGAACATCACGTTCTAGAAATCTCTCTGTCGTTTGTTATGGTAAAAAATCGACGTGATCGCGACACACACACACACACACACACACACACACACACACACACACACACACACACACACACAATGTAATATCTATTTGGCTTAAATTATTGACATTGCACTCAGAGAAAAAAATTTCTGGATCTAATAGTACTCTAATAGTACTCTTCAAACTAACATAAAATAGGATCGATATAGAGCCAATCATATTTATTATAAAGAATAGAATATTTTAGTCTTAATTGGATTATTCTTAAATCTAGAATAAAATCTTGGTGCTACAATAAATAGTAGCACAATCTTATATCAAATACTGGCGCTAATATCGGACATTATATCGGCGATGATTTATTCTATACGCAAGAATAATTTCATTTCAACAAGCTTAAATTTGTATATATTATTCTTCACTCAAGATAAAATGTCAATCATATTTAATTCGAGGCAGAAGAATAGAAATTATTAAT